GAACATTATTTGCCTGCTGAGGTTACAGGGGAGAAAGAATACGAAATTCCAGTGCTTGATGAGGATGCTTACGTGATGCAGAAGCTGTGGGACGAGAAGGAGCACTGGAAGAAAATAGAAGAAGAGCACGATAAGTGGCGAGAGAAGATGCTAACAGAAGATATGGTATCTTTTTACTTTTTTGAAAGTGGTGGTTTTACGGAAATAAAGCATTTTAACAATTAATTTCAGAAGAGGTTCAAACGAGGCGGACGCCGATACATTAATAAAATGGAGCAACATGGTAGTCATACCGGCTTTTGAAAAGTTTATCACAAAGTTTTCAGCTTTTTGGTCAACTTTTCCTAACACTGAGTCGTCGAAACATTTCTAGGTTAATTTAGGTGTAATACTGAGGAGTAAACAGGTTTTGCAGTTTGTATTTTTAGCTTTATTTGGATATTAACATGACTTGATTTTTGCATCAATGTATTTTGATGAACAGTTGTTGCTGAATTTTTCATTTTTGTATCGCTTATATGATTTGCGCCTAAAACGCGTACTTTAAAAATATTTTTTGATGTCTTAAGCTGCGGTTATATTTAGAAGATGCTGTTACTTCTTAACTGGAAGTGTACATGCGGCACTTATATTATATGTAAAACTATCTCATTTTACAAAGTTTTACAACGAAGAGTTTTTAAAGGATTTTATTTAGTTGATCGTTATAGTGAAAGATAGTAAATTTTAAATAAGGTTTCTGGATAATTTTTTAAAATATTGTGTTTTAATTAACTTTTATTCCATTACACGCTGTTGTTTGATGCATTATCTTCGATACCTTCATATCCATCACTTGTTGGTCTTTTGGCGCCTTATCGTACATTTTTTTTGTGTTTCTTGTGTTACAGTTCAGTTTTCTTGTTATTAACTCAGCGAAAGTCACATTATGTCTGTGTATGAAGAGATTAATTTCAATAAACAGTGAAAACAAAAAGTGGTACGTACATTGGGTACAGCGTATACGAAGATTTGCGGCTTTTTGGCAAAAGAAAGTTTTTGTGACTGCAAGAGTCGCTTTACTGGATTCCGAGGTAAAGTGCTTACAGTAATTGTGACTAGGGAATTGTGGCAGTTTCAGGTTCAGACAGAGTCTTGTTAGTGATTACTGAATGTGTGCATTTAGTGAAACTGTTTTGAGGTTGTTGCTATGGAAATGTTTGGAGGCAGGGCGAATTAGCGAGTGCGTTTTTTGTTGCTTGATAGATTCAAGTCCTTACGCTGTTTGGTCCAACACTTATTTCTAAAGTTTGCACTTGTTTTCTGTTTAGTGCAGTCACTTAAAGCCGCTCGTCAATTTTTGTTTCAAGAAGTCATCACAGTTGCATTAGGCATCACCTGCTAGATAAATTAATGAGTTGAAGCGGAGGAATCAATGTTAAGTTCTTGCATTATTTAATAGTAAAATAGTGAAATTTGCACTATTGTGATCCAACTCTGAAATGGAGGAAGTGAAGGAGCTTGAAAAGCTTTCTGCTTTATTCGATAGTTCTTCCAATGTAACTTCGTAATCTATGCCTTCATTTTAGTTGTTGTCAAAATTCCGCTCTTCAGCGCGGAAAAATGGTGAAGATAGTGGCGTTCGGGAATCAAAAAGCGGCAGCATTCCAGAACTTGATGATTTACTATTGAAGCGCGACTATTCTGGGGCTCTGTCACTTCTTGAGGTTTTTGAAACTTCTGAATGAAAAATAATTTTGAAAAAGTCTGTAAAGTAATTTAGCGATACTTTAATCGTAAGACTGAATTTTTCAGCAGTTTTTGAACATAATTCTTTGTCATTTTTGTTGAGTAAAGCGTTCGAATTATAAAACTTTATTACTATTGATTTTGTCAGATTCTTAATTATCTGAAATTTGTAATGGTGCAATTGTGCATACATTTTTGCATAAAAGAAGTATTAGAGTACTGTGTAATTATGTTCTTTAGCTACCTTTTTTTTCTGGAATAATATTTTGGATTAGTTGGTGAAGTGAAATAAGTTTCCAGGTTTTTACTTTTCGGTTTTTTTCCTAAATTAACTACCGGTTTTTAAAAATAATAATCTGGTTTGAGCATATTGGGGTTTTAAAGGAACAGCTTTTAGTACCGGAAACGGGAAGGGCATACAGATGATTCAACCGAGCTGTGGTTGGGATATTGCGCATTTCACGCCGGCCAGTACTCTAAAGCGATTGAAGTTTGAATTCTTCTAATTTTTCTTTTTTGCATTTAGAGTAGTTATTCGATGGTTTTAAATGCTTCTTTTGTTTTACTATATTCTGTTTAGAAAGCTCAAAAATCTGTTCATTGTCAAAACAACTTTATATCATTGCATCGTACTATTGAATTTAATAAAAAACCAGGTATAGGAAGATAGACTTTTGAGTATGGTTTAATGCATTTAGGTTTATGAAGAGCTGCTAGGAAAAGGTAATTGTTCAAATGAAGTACGAATATATTTAGCCTGTGTGTATTATAACATAAATAAGTTTGAAAGAGCTAAGGAATTGGCGGAAAAAGGTACTGTTTTTGTTACTTTAAATAAATGTTTAAAAGATAGCAGATAAGCTTAAGTCCCATCATATACTTATTTTTTTCTCGCTCTTTCGCGCCTAACAGATATATGTGATCATGAAAAATTAGATTTAGTTAGTTCTCGGATTTTTTAGTAAATCTGTGAGGTTTTTGAAGTATTTTAGTCAGCGAAAATGAAATAAAACGGGTAACATTTTTTTCTGTTGGTACATTTAACTTATCTTATTGTAAAGGAGATATTTTTGCGTTAAATAGTTTTTAATTCAAGTACTTTTAAATATTGGAACGAATTTTGTGGGTATCTTATGATTATTTGTACTTTTAAACTGCATAATTCAAAACGATTACTAAGCTGCATAGAAAATGATAGTAAAATAATGGATATACAAAAATTAGCCAGATAACTATCGCTTTCAACTACAAACTTTCAGATTCTTGTGAGAATTTTCATAATTTGCTGCTAAGTTGTTAAGCCAATTAAAAAATCGAAGGTAACATATCCGTTGAGAAGTACTAAAAAAGAAAAACGATGATGAACTCGTTTGTATATCAACGATTATCAGAAAGGACAGCAACAACAAAAACAGTGATATCACAGCATTTAAAAATTAAGTAAGGAAGTTATAGGCCCGAAAACAAAACTGCAAAATCGGATTTTGTTGCACATCAACGACTTACTAAACAACGATGAAGAGACCAAAAACTGTCATTCACGTCTGGAAGAAACCATCGACGATATGTTAGCACTGGCTGCTGTTCATTTTCGGCGATCGCATTTTCGTGAAGCTGTTGATGTCTACAAGAAAGTACTGAGTGATCATAAGTAAGTAGCGACAAACAAATGATAAGCGAAAAAAAAGTGATAAGTAGTAATATCTGTTGAGGTGATTGATCAATAAGTATGATTTAAAGAAACCATATCAATCAAATCATTAATCCTCATTGACTTAACAAAGCTGTTCTTTGATTTCAGGGATTATTTAGCTGTTCAAGTGTATCTAGCATTATGTTATTACAAACTTGAATACTATGATGTAGCATTGGTAAGTTAAATAGTTTGTATTATAATGGCTCTGTAGACTAGTTAACATTGTCAATCTTTGATCGTTTAGTATCGGTCGGCTGGCTGCTGTGAAGTTCACATGAAATACCACATCCAAAGAGGGGAAGGGGAGGGTGGGCGGAAAAAAAGTAAAAATTCTTTTTTCAAAGATCTTAATAACTTTTATTAACAAATTATTAAACTGTCTGAGGCTGACTTTTCATTATTGACAGCATACCCGAACAGTTGTAAATAAATTTATTTCAATTCCAAAAACACACTTTAGTATCACACCACCAAAATATTTCACCTTCTTTTTCCTTTCCATAAGTCACACCGACAAAAAAAAAAGCAACTATAACGTATAGTACAGTTTTCCAACATCTGTTTCTTCCTGTGTTTATCAAATTGTAGTGAGAGATAACAACAAAGAGATCTTAGGATACACTTCAACTGTACTTATCGGAACATCCAGACAGCCAATTTGCAATCAACCTACAAGCTTGTGCCAAATATAAGTTATATAACAGCAAAATTGCTGATCGTCAACTGCATTCTATTGATGATAATTCGACAACAGACTGTTTAAATGTTCGAAATTTGGTTGCACATAATAAGGTATTTTCCTTGTTTTTTCCGGTGTTTTGCAACTGATGTTCGATTTTTGAACTCTACTATCTGCGGAAACCTACTGTGGTCGGTTTTCATAAGTTCGATTTATGAAACGGCACCACTCAAAATGTATTTCACCTCAAGTGTTTTCAAGAAAAATTACTTTTTTTACTTCTTTACTTCATTTCTCTCATCTTTTTATTCATCATTATCATTAATTTTCTTTTCCTTTTTTGGCTTTCCCAAATGGCCATTATTATGAAAAAAAGAAAAATGAGCAAAATTCGTAAAGTGACTCATCATTAAAACAATTGAAACTTACGTTTAAAAAAGAAAAATTAGGAGAAAGTTGTTTTAATAAATTTTTTGATCTACGCTGGATCCAACTTTAACTCTTCTCTTTTTAACTCGATATGTTCCTCTTCAGCGACTGTCAAGCCTTTTTTGCATAATTTTCACGTGTACTCGGTTCTCCACACCGAAAGAGTTTGGAAGACAACAACGAGATTCCATTTTTAAAGCACTGTATGCCAATTCAGGTGGTTTTTCAAGACGGAGAAGGCGCTTTGCTGACACTACCGTCTTTGGTCAATACAATCCCGGAAGCTCGGTTGAATCTTATTAAATTTTATTTGGCAAGAGGTAAGCACTGGCCCCACATTTTAGTGTCTTTCCATTCGATATTTTCGCTTTCTAGTCAAACTTGGTAAAACACAGTTTAGTTCCAAATTGTATGTTCATAACTTCTACGAATCAGTCAAAAAAGTGAACAGTATTATTCTTTTTTTTTGTTTTTTCGGGGTTTTAACAGCCGTCTTTTGTTGCACTCATGTATGGGTGTAAAATCATTGTTGATATTTTGGTGACAGTGAAAACCATTCTTCTTTCAGAAAATAAAAATTTTTTTGAAAAAAAATTGTCACATGGTTCTTATTTTAAAAAAAAATAGAAGCTTTTTATCTTTTGCCTTTTTTCCTTGTTTTTTTTTTTTTTTTTACCTTCTGCCCAAGAATTTAAGTGTTTAGATGATTTACAAAGTGCATTCAAATTGTTCGAAGGCCATCAACCTGAAACACCGCAGGAATATCTTTTACAAGGAACTACCTATTACAAGATGAGTATTGAAAAGAAAAATGTATGTCATTATGGATACCATCTGATGTTATATCATTGTTGGCAATTAGTTTTAACCGAACGTTGAACGGGTAACAGAATACAAAACACAGCTGAACAGTTCTGTGAGCTATTCCAATATGTCGTAAGTTAGAAGTGTCCGGGAAGAACTTGTACTGTTATGGTCCATATAATCGCTACTATTTTGGTTGTGAAATAAAATGAAGTTTCGTTTCAGCATGATTATCGGCGAACAGCAACCAAACTTTACTTAACTGTCGGTGAATCGCCAACTGAATGCGGTTTGTATTCGAATGAATCGATATTACATAGACAAAAAAAATAAAATAATATAATTTTTCTTTGAAAATACAGTAATTTTTATTAATAATAAAACAAAATTGTTAATTCTATTAACAGCAAAAAAACTTAACACATATGGTGAAGTCATCTGTTTACAGATACAGTTGCTGGTCGTCAAGCAATGGCATCTGCGCATTTCTTATCAAATCAATTGGACGAAGCTCTGATTTATTTAGATTCTATAAAAGTAATTGTATTAAAAATAATGAATTTGTTGCTGTTTAAAAAAGTTCTTGTTTTTTTTTATTGTAAAAATTACTTTACATTTAGGCTTATTTTGAAGACGATGATGTTTTCAACTATAATTTTGGTCAAACCTTACTGGCTAACGATAAACCTGTTGAAGCCGAAGAAGTGCTGTTACGAATTTCTGATCAAAATCTTATGAAAAGTTCAAGCTACTTGCTGAATCTAATTCGTGCATGTAAGCCAATTATAGATTCTTTGCATAAACTAGTTTCTATCAGCAATAAGTCAACGATATTAAATGCTTGAATATTGTAGACTGTATAAATCAAAAAGGTGATCTCGCGTGGTCAAAATGCTCTAAATGGAAGCATCGTGAAGATTTACCGGGAGCGTTGGAAATCCTAGCAAACGATTGCTATAATGTTAGAGTTTTTGAAGATTATATATAATTTGAAAATAGTCATTGGTTTTTGAGCACAAATTAAACAGTGATAATTGTACAAAAAATCTTATAAATTTCTGTTAGCTATACTTCGCATAAAATTTTCAGTTTGGAGATTACTATCATGCACTATTGGCATTTGATGCCTTG